AGTGTCACTGCCCCTTTCTCAGTTTGTTAGCTTTAGGACTGAAGCACTTTGAAGGGACCGAGTTTCCTAAGCCTCTAATCAGCAAGTACCTTCTCACTTGCAAGACTGCCCACCAGCTGACAGTGAGAATCAAGAACCTCAACATGAACAGAGCTCCTGACAACATCATTAAAGTAAGTGCTCCCTGCATGCTCCACCGGAGACCTCGCCTGAGTGTAGCCATTCCTTTTCTTTTGCTTAGTCTCAATGAATAGCCTTTTATTTAAGGCTAGTTCCTCCCACCTGCACGCTAGGTTAATTGCCCTCTTTCCTTTCCAGGAACAGTGATACATTATTTTCCTCTGGAGTATCATCTTCTTCCTCTGTTATAGATATTTCTCCTAAATATAAAATTGTTCAAATTTTAAAATACTTCTCGAATCTGTTTTCCTCTAGCTATTCATTTTCTCTTTTTTTTCCACGCTAACCTTCTTCAGAGGGTAGGTCACAGTCCACTTATATCCTTCTCCTTAACTCTTTATGTTTAGATATTTATATCAAAGTTATAAAGTATACTTTAAAGAATCAAATAGTTCTGTGAGACTTGTCATGAAAGACAATCATTTTTCTCCCTATTTCCTGCTAAGCAAGGTTTTTGTGGGTGATGGTACATTTACCTCCATATCTAGGTAGCATGCTTATAATTGCTACCACTTGATTTTTTTTTTTTAATATTTCTTTCTTCCTTTATTTGGCTGCATTGGGTCTTAGTTGTGGCATGTGGGATCTTCATTTGTGGCACGTGTGATCTTTCATTGCAGCACGTGGGCTTCTCTCTAGTTGTGGCGTGCGGGCTTCAGAGTGCACGGGCTTAGTAGTTGTGGCACACGGGCTCAATAGTTGCAGAGTGCAGGCTCTCTAGTTGTGGCTCACAGGCTCTAGAGCGCGCGGCCTTAGTTGCCCTGTGACATGTGGGATCTTAGTTCCCCGACCAGGGATTGCACCCACATCCCTGTGTTGGAAGGCAGATTCTTAACCACTGGACCACCAGGAAGTCTCCACTTGATTTTTTGGATTTAGGCCTTCTCTGTTAAACTGAAACCATGGAAGATGAAGACTTAGTTCTCTCCACACTCCTATAGTCTCACCACTCACTATAATTATATCACAGTTTTGCTTAGATTGTTTTTATTTATTTATTTATTTATAAATGTATTTATTTTTGGCTGTGTTGGGTCTTCGTTGTGGTGCGTGGGCTGTCTCTAATTGCAGTGAGCGGGGGCTACTCTTCATTGCAGTGCGTGGCTTCTCATCGCGGAGTCTTCTCTTGTTGCAGAGCATAGGCTCTAGAGCACAGGCTCAGTAGTTGCGGTG